AAAACTGCGATTATTTGTAGCTCTGATTAACTGCAGTTTTTACAACTGATTAAAATGTATGTGAGAAAAAAGATAACAAAGCAATTTAATCAGCCACGTATACCTATACATCGTTTCTTCTTTACATCGCATCACTATTACATCGCATCACTATTACATTGCATCACTATTACATCGCTTCGTTTACATCGCATCTGTGTACATCACATTTATTACGTCAGAAAAATTACATCGGTTTTGTGTGTCACATCATTTGATTCTGTGTACATCGTACAATGTGATATTACACAACCGATGGATTGACCTGGTTGCAGCAGTTTCGATGTAATATTCAACAACTTTTTTTGCTGTGTAGGGAGATGTGGTCAAATTGTAAAATCAACACTTATTAGTGTTTATGTTGTTTAAATGCATCCAAAACATCAGTTTTGCAATAAACGCCAACATTACCTAACGGAATAATTGATCAGACCATTATTCCGCAAGGAAAGTGAAATTGCATTCAGAATGCGCCACCTTCATGTCGATCACGATACTAATGTAATCGATCTTTCCTTTACCGATTTCTTTTGAACTGCGTACTGGGTCAAGAAATGCTGAGGAAAAGTAATTTCTTTTGCATTCCGTGTCCTATTGGCGTCTTGCAGTGAAACTTTTCCAAGCTTTCGCCACCTACATTTCGAAGTGAAAATTACTAGAAGGAGGATAGTTTCCAAATTCTTCAAGTAAAACAGACGATTTTTGGGGCAAATCGGTACATAAAGAAAAACTAATAATTTCCCGTGGAAACTTTTGCTTGAATCGTGTAAGAAAATATGTTTGCAAACTAACTGTTATTATTTCGGTATGGATCGGAGATGTTTTCATGGAAAATTATGCATAACAAGTTTGCACCCACAGGGAGAGGTTACCTCCTGCGCAGCGGCATTTTTCGGAAAATGGTGAATATGTGCGATTTCCACTAGGATGAAAGTGGAAATTAAGTGAATTTACTTAGGAAAGGTTGTATCATGCTGATGGTAATGGAGATTGGTTGTATAGGATGCCAATATTCAATAAATGTTCATTTTGGCCTTTTGTTAGCAAACATATTGATGCTCACAATTTTCGACGGAAAACGCAACGGAACTTGCTTTACTCAACACGCACCATACTATAAAATGGTGCTAGATGGTTTTCAAAGTGATAACAAGATGACAAATTATCTTTATTTTGAGTAATTGAGCAATTTACTTCTGTTTACATCATATATACGATGCAGCATTGATGGAGCCGTGAAATGAAATGAATATATCTTATGAAAGTTCACCTGGAAAAGTCAAAGATGCACATCAGTCTGATCGTAAAAACGTTTTCTTCTTCAATTCGAATGTTATATTGGAAGGATTTCACGCAGGCTTGATGAAAATTATGATTTAATGCTAATTTTCACGAATTTTATATGCAGTCTGTCAACATTATCATCATCATGCAGTGGCGACATCTGCGTTGAGCTTTTGCGGCAATCTTCCAATTGTACTCAACCTGCTATTCATGCCTTTTGTAGTTCCTCAATTGGCGTTGACGGCACTGTCGAAAAATTTGCTCTTCCAGCAAATGTAGACAGTTTCTTATGGGAATTTTCGGTGGAGTGAAAGGATAGTACAAAGTCCGCCATGTTTCACGCACAGTCTGACGTTTGCTTATGGATTTTCTCATAGGAGTAAAGAGCTACAGAGTCGCCGTCAACGCCAATGACAAATCTTACCTTACCAACTACGGATTTTACCTGTAAGGTACATGAAGGACCACACACACACACACGCACGCGGCCGCGCGCAACTGACAGTGCAACATTACAGACAGCCTTTCGCACACCGTTCCATCATTGTTGCATCAACACCGTCGCACTAAACACACATTCTGCTAACCACTTTGTCATTGCATGGTGAACTCCTCCAACGAGTCAGCATTGCATAGCAACCATAGCAACAACCACCAATATAAAAACATGCATCCATTTCTATATGTGTGCATAAACAAACGCCTATCACCCGCACATTTTCTACTACAGTTCTTCCTTTTTCTTGTGATAGTGATTCTACGTTTTAGAATTTTACCACCACAACTTAGCATGCACAATCCAACACATTTGCAGTTCGCTCGCTCTGCCACACTTCACATTTCTCACTTTTGTGAAACGCCGGCGAGGCATAAAAAGAGGGGAAAATCATCGCATTCTTCGGGACACTTCTCTTCTTCACTCTTATGTATGCGTGAGCGTATGGGAAGACAAACGCCTGCCCACGATTTTCGTCGCACATTTTTTCGATTGCACTTTTCATTAACTTTTAACTTTAAATAAACGCTCATTTCCTCTATCTGAGGAACCACAAGCGACAGCATACATTCAAAACGTTACACTTGCATTTACAATACTTTTTTCGAAAAATATATAAAGAACAGTTAACTAAACAGAAAAAGAAAATGGACCGATACCGAAACACATGTGCACCCGACGAAGGCAACCGCGGAACTGAGTCACTATTTCCCTAAAAATAGCCACTAAAGTCACTTTTTCACTACTGAAATAAAGTGAAATTTAAAAATATAAAAAAAAAAATGTTTAAATTGAGTACTTGGCACTAAGAAATTGAAAATTTTAACCAGGGTAACCAGTGAACCGCAAAACTTTAGAACCCAAGGAAAACTATTGGGAAATGCCTACAATTTCGATTAAAAATCCGGAAAAATATACCTCTTCCCAAAAAATAAATTGTAAACCTTAGAAACTTTCCAAAGGTATTTGTCTGTGATAGATTTTCAAAATTCTTTCAAGGATGATTAAGAAAAAAATCCAAAATAAATTTTAAGAAAATTTTAAACGATTCTAGGGATGACACCAAGGTATATCAGAGAAGAATACCAAAGAACAGACTACGAAAGTCTCTTGTAAAATTAAGTGCTCTAAGGACTGATTTCTTCTTGTCCGCTTAAATATTAAGCCAGGTTTACCTATATAGTTAAACTTGGCTTAACAGGTACGAGCGTCGCTTTTGATTATTATTTAAATTATTAGAGACGCAAAATTCGGCTCCGAAACTATTTTCGAAATAATTCTAATATAATTGAGAGTGCATTTTAACGAAAGTTCTGAGAAGAAAATTCTATGATGATTGGATGAGAATTCTAGGTCCAATTCTTATAAGAATTCAAAATTAGTTCTGAAATTTTGCTTAGGGGGCTCTGATGAAAATTCCATGAAAATCCCGTGAACTCCAAAGATGGTCTCTGCGGATAGTTCTAAAAGAATTCTGGGGTGATTTGTTGTAACGATGATTCCCAGAGAATTCTAAAGAGTTCGAAATAAATTCCGAGAAGAATTCCAATGGAATCGAATTTTGAGGATTCAATCCCAAAGGAATTCTGAGAAGAGTTTCAAAGTTATTCTGTGATGGATTTTTGTTTTCAGAATTCTGAGGAATACTATAGGAATTCTTAGGAGAATACAACTTGAATGCAAGGGAGAAGTTAAAGATTATTTTAGGCAGAAATTTATAAAATTTCTGAGGTTAATTGCATGGGAATTCTAAGGATGGATTTATGGAAGGAACCTTCAGGGAGTTCCTAGAAGAATCAATTAAAAATCGAAAATAATCTGCTTTAACTAATCATGTGTTATTACTTCATGCGTGAATTTAACGATTTACATAGTCGGAAATGCTTAACGTCAAATATCAGACTTAAAGTGGAAATTGTATATGATCTATTGATGAATCTACGCGAAACTGCACCAGTGCATACGACACCTAGGTTTGAAGTCCAAAACCACAAAAGTGATGATGTACTAAAAAATATTTCATACGATTTGACAGCTAGCAAAACGTCATTATCATTTTCACATCATTTCCATCTGCTGGCCGACCGTAACGTAGATTCATCAATTAGCTAGGAGATTCAATTATAGAGTTGATTTTGTCTGTGCTTTCGCCACCTACATTTCGAAGTGAGAACTACTAGAAGGAGGATAGTTTCCAAATTTTCCAAGTAAAACAGACGCTTATTGGGGCAAATCGGTCCATAAAGAAAAAACTAATAATTTCCCGTGGAAACTTTTGCTTGAATCGTGTAAGAAAACGTGTTTGAAAACTATTTGTTATTATTTCGGTTATAACAAGTTTGCACCCACAGAGAGGTTACCTCCTGCGCAGCTGCACTTTTCGGAAAATGGTGAATATGTGCGATTTTCACTAAGATGAAAGCGGAAATTAAGTGAATTTACTTAGGAAAGGTTGTATCATGCTGGTGGTAATAGAGAATTGGTTGTATAGGACGCCAATATTCAATAAATGTTTGATTTTGGCCTTTTTTAAGCAAACGTATTGATACTCACAATTTTCGACCGAAATCGCACCGGAACTTGATTTACTCAACACGCACCATACTATAAAATGGTGCTAGATGGTTTTCAAAGTGATAACAAGATGACAAATCATCTTTATTTTGAGTAATTGAGCAATTTACTTCTGTTAACATCATATTTACGATGCAGCATTGATGGAGCCGCGAAATGAAATGAATATATCTTATGAAAGTTCATCTGGAAAAGTTGAAGATGCACATCAGTCTTATCGTAATAACGTTTTCTTCTTCAATTCGAATGTTATATTGGAAGGATTTTACACAGGCTTGATGAAAATTACGATTTAACGCTAATTTTCACGAATTTTATATGCAGTCCGTCAACATTATCATCATCATGCAGTGGCGCCATCTGCGTTGAGCTTTTACGGCAATATTCCAATAGTTTGTTTACGTTTGGAACCAATTTCATATACAAGAATGATCAGTAGAATGATTTGACAGCACGTCCCCCGCAGGGAATATCGGCTACGCTCTGGCAACGCTGGTTGTCACAATAATAAAGCGTCGATTTAGCTCTTCGCTCTCCGTCGAATAGATCCAACTCTCACTCTCACGGTTTTATTTCGGCCGACGACCGGCAGACATCTTGGAACTGCACCGCACTCTTCTCATCACTCGCAACAGCAACACACTTCGAGACGAACGACATTTTCGACGAGAGATTCCTTCATTTTTGGACCGAATGTCATAAGGGTAAGTGTGTTCAACGTGCGGAAGGAGAGAGAGAGATACAGGCCCGACTGTAAAAGAGGGTTTGCGTAATCACCTCCATATTAGATAATGGACATTTTCGGGAGGAAAATTAATTCTTTTCTGTGCTGATTTTAGGCTGACGATCCAAAAAAACGTAGAGTGCGAGTTCGAGACCAGAAAAAGAGATGTTTTCCTCGATGAAAACGCTGATGACCGTCGCGGCCCGGGCTGAACAGGTCTTGGCCCGTGGTTATGCTGCTAAGGCTGCAGCAACGGCTGCCACTGCCCAGGGTAAGGTAGTGGCCGTAATCGGTGCCGTCGTGGACGTCCAGTTCGACGACAATCTGCCACCAATTCTGAATGCCCTGGAAGTACAGGGCCGTCCCGCCCGTCTGGTGCTGGAAGTTGCGCAACATTTGGGAGAGAACACCGTCCGTACCATTGCCATGGACGGTACCGAAGGATTGGTGCGTGGCCAACGTGTTCTGGACACCGGATCTCCGATTAGGATTCCGGTCGGAGCCGAAACTCTGGGTCGCATCATCAACGTCATTGGTGAGCCAATCGACGAGCGCGGCCCAATCGAAACCAACCTGAACGCTGCGATTCACGCCGAAGCTCCAGAGTTTATTGACATGAGCGTCGAGCAGGAGATTCTGGTTACCGGCATCAAGGTCGTCGATCTGCTGGCCCCGTACGCCAAGGGTGGCAAGATCGGTCTGTTCGGTGGTGCCGGTGTCGGCAAGACTGTACTGATTATGGAGCTGATTAACAACGTTGCCAAGGCCCATGGTGGTTACTCCGTGTTTGCCGGTGTCGGTGAGCGTACCCGCGAGGGTAACGATCTGTACAACGAAATGATTGAGGGTGGTGTCATCTCGCTCAAGGATAAGACCTCCAAGGTAAGTGGCATCATCAATAATGTTTTATCGTTCTCCTCCGGCGGTTGTTTGTATTTCGGCTGAAAAGGATTTTGATCTCGCTGATTGGAATCTTATAGCAATTTGTTACAGTTGTTACGAACATAGTGATTATATAACACCGTCTGTGTTTCCGGGCATGCTTATGATTTTTAGAAACAAGTTGCAAGGTTTTGTGTTTCATCACTCGATTAAGTACGATAATAACAAAAAATTAGCAAGTTTTAGCAAATAGTAAAATGTCGGGCAGTTTTTTCCCCTTGGTAACAGTTACTGTTAGTTAATTTCGGCCCGTGATTACTCTTTTCTTTTAAAACTTCTGGCAATGTTATGTGCATCACAATAAAGTAGACATGAATTTTGTTTTCCAATCAATAGTTGTCACTGCGTGACGGTGACACCGTGACCTAAAAGTAGCATTTTTTTTCGGCTTAAAATTTGTTTTAATTGAAATTATCCGGTAAATTAAAATGTTTTGATATTACTCTGAAAATTTCACATATGTTTCACAAGCTTTGTCTAAAGTAATAGCACAGAGAAAAATAAATGTAGTTGAATAGTCGCGGTGAAGAACTTCATGGAATTAGACTTCTGACAAATTTAAATTTATGTTATAATGCTGAAGCGTAATACTACCATTTGAAAATATACACATATGAGGGATTTGGAGTCCGATCTAAATCGATTGACTCCAACTCCTCTGATTTAAAAATAACCGACTCCTATTCCGATTCCAAAAACTGTACATACTTCATTAAATTTCAGTTAATTAAGTATTTAAGATAAGATTGATATTTATGAAACAATATTCCATGGGATATGGCTAGGAAATTGATTGATTGATTTCTTGAAGATTGATAATTTTAAACGAAAAGGTGTAGTTTTCTAAACAAAATAGTCATAACGTATAATAAACATTGGTAATTTTAAAAGAAATTGAACAAAACTTCAAATTAAAATGCCACAACTTCAAACTATAACTATAAAAACTATATTGAATAACTTTAAACTAAACTACTGATCTCTCAATCTATAACTTAACAATTCAATACTTCTAATAGAACCGCATGAAAAACATACGAAATTTCTAACAAAATTGATCGACATTTGATTAAACTTATAACAAAATCGGTCTCAACATTCCAACCACATTTTCAAAAAAAAAAAAAATGAACAGCTTCTAACGACTTGATCTCAACTTTTCAACCATTTCAGCAAAAATGGTCACTGTAATTAATGGTATGGTAATTAATCAAACCCTATTTGTTGAAAGATCTTTTACCAGCAGAATATGGTTAAATATGGTACATCAAATGTTACTTTGCTCCTCTGATCCGGCCCTGAGTATATTTCTCACCGCAAGCCTAAAACAATCGGTTAAAAGGGCAGGATTCTCAGTCCGGTTGAGGATCTTATTAAAAATTGCCCCTAATCATGACAAAGTTTTTGGACTGAACTATTATTGACCACCAATCCATTCTCTACCATTGCAGGTCGCCTTGGTGTACGGCCAGATGAATGAACCCCCCGGCGCCCGTGCCCGTGTCGCCCTGACTGGTCTGACCGTCGCTGAGTACTTCCGTGATCAGGAGGGACAGGATGTGCTGCTCTTCATCGACAACATTTTCCGTTTCACCCAGGCCGGTTCCGAGGTATCTGCCCTGCTGGGTCGTATCCCGTCCGCTGTCGGTTACCAGCCAACCCTGGCCACTGATATGGGTAGCATGCAGGAGCGTATCACCACCACCAAGAAGGGATCCATCACTTCGGTGCAGGCCATCTACGTGCCGGCTGACGATTTGACTGATCCTGCTCCGGCTACGACCTTTGCTCATTTGGACGCCACCACTGTGTTGTCGCGTGCCATTGCCGAGCTGGGTATCTACCCTGCCGTGGATCCCCTTGATTCCACCTCCCGTATCATGGACCCGAATATCATCGGTCCCGAGCACTACAACATCGCTCGTGGTGTCCAGAAGATCCTGCAGGATTACAAGTCCCTTCAGGATATCATTGCTATCCTGGGTATGGATGAATTGTCTGAGGAAGACAAGCTGACTGTCTCCCGTGCCCGTAAGATCCAGCGTTTCCTGTCGCAGCCCTTCCAGGTTGCTGAAGTTTTCACCGGTCATGCCGGCAAGCTGGTCCCTCTGGAGGAAACCATCAAGGGATTCACCAAGATCTTGAACGGTGAGTTGGATCACCTGCCCGAAGTCGCTTTCTACATGGTCGGCCCAATTGAGGAGGTCGTCGAGAAGGCCGAACGCTTGGCCAAGGAAGCCGCCTAAGGTACCCATTCGGCAGAGCATAGAGAACCAGCAGCAGTAATTAGTCATCAGTAGAGCGGAAAACAAATCTTCCGAATGGGACTCGGAAGGGGATCCCGGAATCCTCCCACATTGTCTTGGGGTCTCCTTCAAGCTTCATTCGAGGGAGATCAAACGAATCTAACGCAAAGCAGAAATTCCAGCCCTAACACACGCGAAAATAATGGGAACGTTCTAGCAGATTTAGTCGAGGTTGAAAATATAGACTTTTTAGTGTTGATCGTAAACAATGTTGAGTTCTTGAGAAAGAAAACCCCGGTTCAAAATTGTGGTTATGTAACAATTATGTATTCAGTTTCGGTTCTGAAATATTGTTGGCAAGCAGGAAGCCAAAATTCTATAAAGAATTTTCACCTTGTGAGAAAGTATTAGGTAATCGATCGTTTGATAATGTAATAGAAGAAAATCTGGACATGATTCGTACTCAATTCGACATCAATCCATTGATTAGAGTGGCGACGTAGAAACTTATGCAGATTGCAAGCTTTCTGGAAGTATGTTATGACTGAAATTAAATTTGGTAGGACATCGACAGTGGCATTATAAAAAAATATTTATTAGGTAAGGCATGCAATATTTTCATGTCGGCAATTTCATATATGGCGGCAGACTGTTGATGTTGATGATGACGTGATTTTTTCTTTCTCTCACACATTGGAAAAAAAGTTTGATTAAACTGTCAAAAAAATGTTGGTAGTGTGAAATTAATCTCGTTTTTTGTCGTATTTTACCGACGCTGTCATTTTGACATGCCAAGCAAGAGAGGCTTCTTCCATTATTGTTATATATTTTTAAGCTAAATTGGGTTACCAACAGTACAAAACGGAATACGAAAGTGGTGCCGAATTAGGAATGGGCATTTTGAAAGAAAAAAAATCTATGTTGTCGAATCGATTCTAAAACAATATAAAATCGATCTTCAAAAATATATTTGAATTACGCTTTATATTCTACTATTAGACGAAATACCTGTTGTTTTAGTGTATGTGTGTGAGCATTTATTTGTAAAAAAAAACCAGTTCACAAAAGCAATTGCACTCTATTTAAATATTGACACCGAAATCAGTGTTCGGATAATCCCAAAAACTTAAATCTCATGCATGAGTTTATGCGCCATGAGTTTTGCCTTGCAAAATTCAACGTCGCAAAAATCACCGATGGGTTTTCAGGTTCAAAAATTCATTGCTTTATATTTTGGTGTTATTCATTGTTATTACTAGTGTTTGGTCATCAGGGGTTGGAAAACTAACAAAACATGCATAGGCATGATATCAATTAACAATTGAGTGGTTTTTATGAGTTTAAAGCTGAAATGATTTTTCGGCGTTATGAGTGTGAGTGCGTGAATATGCATGAGAATCTCAAGCGTCAATTTTGTTTGCCGCATTTGCACGCTAGTTTATTCTCGCAGGGAGGCTCAATGAATGAGATTTGAGAATGATTTTCCGAACACTGCACCGAATTATGAAGAAATATTATCACAGAGAACAGATGTTGAGGCTCGAACAAAATTTTTCTAAAAACTTGTGTAAAGATTCCTATTCGACTTAACTGCCACTAACGACGACTTCCCCATTTAAAAACCCTTTTTGACAACATGATGGCGTTAGTGGCGTTAGCGTTGCGTAACTTACACTAGACACTAAGTGCTGGTAGCGCTAAATGGCAATTTTCAACAATCAAATAAATTATTGATTAGTGTTTTGATTCTCGATAATTTTGTATTTGAAGCCATTGTTTACGTTTGGTTTTTCCACCTATTTCAATTGTTGGTCTAGAACCACCGACGAACCGACGTGACAGCTCATACAAGCTACTTTAAAAATCTTGCCCAAGACGCCATATTAAAATACGTTAAACACTACCGCCATCTACTCATCCGATCGCGACATATCATGAGCACACGTTAAATTTATATGCACTTGGTTTGCGTCTCACCTCGTTTGACAGATCAAATCGTTCATTTGACAAATCGAATTGCGGACAAACGAAATGCTCCAGTGTTATGTCGGTTCGTCGGTGGTATGGCCATCTATGATATCGTTATGCCGTTACACTTGTATGACCTACTATGAGCATGAGCATTATTAGTATAATAATTATGAGCACTATATACTGTAGCGTGCAAAATGCGGCTAACGGTTTTCCGTCTTCTGGATCGTTCCCTGGCTCGATAAACGGACGGCTTAAGCGCCACCTCCAGGGAGGACCGTCCGTCGAGTCTTGTTTGCCCGGCTAGAAACCTGACCTCAGGGCGGGTTTGTTCAATCAGAACCAAAATTTAAGTTGAAACGATACAGAAGACTCAAACGGTACGATGGATCGAGATTCTCCACACAAAGAGGTCGCCTCAATCGCGACAAGAGAATAGTTGATGCTACTGGTCGTTCTACCTACTCACGGAAACAACACTCACCAGTATCATCACCGGAGGAACTCACTTATTCAAAAATCCCCGCCGATCGAGACACGTGAGTGGAGAGACTGATTTCCCAGGCAGTCTAACCTGGCGTACAAGAACATAAACACAAAAAAAGTAGAACGACGCGAAATGTGAGAATTCTCGAAACCAAAAATAAGTTACATGGGAAACTTTTACATTTAACGGAAAAACATTTATTGGGGTAAACTACTATAAATATTTAGATAAGTTTATTTTATTGCATAACCTAGGTTTTCATCATTCGTGTTTCTGCCTCTCTAGTTTCCCTACTGTGTGCGGATTTTGATCTAGTGATCGCTAGCTAGCTTTGCTCATCGAGCTCTTCTTTCGTGGAGTGTGTGTGTGTGGTGTCGTTAACGCATGCGCATGGTTAAATAATTGTTGGTTTACTCACGGTACCGAAATAGCTGCCTGATGAATTGGTCGGCAAAGCAGATACCGGCTGATTTGCGGCGGTATTGTGGCTATCGCCCGAAATGCGGCGATTGGCGATGATGCTGCGGAAATTCCCAGTCGATGGATGGTCTCGAAGCTGGTACTGAACTCGCGCCGAAATGGGTTGGCGCTGTAGACGACGTTGGGGACGTCGGTGTTTTTTACGTGTTGACCACGTGTGGCGGAAATGGCGAAATGACCGCTCTGTCGAAACGGTTTGTTTCCTTCCGGCTTTCCCCTCAAACCGGGACTTTTGACGCCGAAGCGTGGGGTCGAGAGTCGCGTTTTTACTCGAGATGCGGTGTGCCGAGCTTCGGCCGTATATCGCTAGAAGCGAATCCTATGTAAAAAGCCGTCGAACGGCTGTTCGACGCGTTAACAATAAAATTTCCACACAAAACAATTATCCACGAATTACCTTTTCTCTACACGTACGCACACACAAAAATTGACCGCACGTCAACTTTGACCTAACTGCTGAACTTTAGGCTACACGAAGGAAACAAAAAGTAACATTAAATTCGATCACTAGACTTCTCACATTTTTTATAGGTACCAATTAAAACACACCGCGACACAATAAAACTATTTCACGCACTCTCGCCTCTTCCACGGTCCAGGTCAAAATGGACGAGTGGACGTTCCGAAAACCCTCAGATCAAATCGTAATCATAGTCTTCGTGGCCGGAAGTACGTCAATTACCGAAGTAATTAACGACCTTTTCAAACGACAAGTCTCATCAACTACGATCTTGAGCCGATTGACCACTCTATCTCTTTCTCGCTCATACCGTTTGATTAAACTGTCTCGCTTCATTCTAATTCTGGCTCGATTGATTTTTTTACGAGAGAGAATGTTCGGATTCGAACCTTGGACTTTACGACGAGTCTCACAAACCAGAGAACGTTTCCAGTGGCCGATAAAATGAATTTGGAAGGCAGCTTGTATGCAAGCGTTACGTTTTTCTGCGGATTTACAATAAGTTTCATTTGTAATGGTGATTTCAATTTAATTTAAGTGAGCATGTAGTTATTATGTAATGAATATAAATAATAAATACATAACGTGAACGATAATTATTAATGGAATTCAAAAATAGATGGAAAAACAGAATATAAATTCAAATAAATAAGTGGCAATCCTTAAATTAGTTAAATTATATTTACATAAAAGTGACCATGCTACATCATCCTCTACTAAATTTACGAAAATTTGATTGAAATTTTTAGAAAATTTCAACCAAATTTTCGTAGGGCTAAACCCTAACAAAAATAATTCCAGCTGAAAGGACTATTGAAATATGGTTGGGCTATTGTAATTTTGTTGGCAGGCAATCCTCACATACGCATATAAAAAAATGACGTACACATAAAATTCACTTGCATCTGGAGTAATACTCAAACTCCAGAGAAGTAAAACATAACTAGGACACTGACTACTCCAGTAATAATTTAGCCGAAAACCCTGACAGTTGACCGTAAATTTTCTCTCAAGAAAAAACCTGTGAATCCTGAACAACAATTTACTCCAGAACTATATTCCGGAAACACGATTGTGTTCGTTTTCCACAATAAATGACCTGTGAATCCTGAAAACTATCTCCCCAGACATAAAATCCGAGATCAGTGATAGAATCCGCTTTTCACAATTAATGTGTTGCGAAAAACACTCCAGATTTAAATCCGAATTAGGGTTTTTCACACCACAACATAAACACTAAAATTCATCAATAAAATTTCTTACGAAATATTATGAGATTGTACAATACTACAAAACTTCTTAATCACCCCTCGTATCGGTCACCCTGGAAGAGAGTCGTCACTCACTTCCTTGGAACTCACCCACTCAAAGCACTGCCAACATAACGAAATGAACGGAGCAACAAATGTCAAAACCGGTGAAAGTAAAAAGTGAAAAAAAAGTTACGACTGATTGTTGCTGCTGAATTGTGAAATCGAGGACTAAATTGCGGAAACCAAGGATGAAAAACTGCCTAAAACTACAAAAATGTTCTAGGAAAGTGCTTAATTACTGTATTGGTTGATGTTGTTTATAAAAGAACTGTTCTGGGGATTGTGGGGGTCTGTTTTCTCTTCTCGTTTTAGGTTGATTGACGTAAACGACATCGACGGATTCCAATTACCATTTCAGTTCTAGTGATTGATGAAACGATCTCCAGGCCTCCACACAGATAGACTATGGAAACATTCGAACACAAGAGCCGATGAAAATGACGAATACGGATGGATGAAAGTTATATTTAGAAGAACATGGAGGCTATCTGTGGGACTATATCGATAAAACAGGACGTATATAACGAACAACCAAAATATTTACTAAAGAAATTGTGAAATTGAAACAGTGAGTGATTTGATTTTCTAATTAACTATAATTTTAAGTAACTAATCCTAGAAATACCGTAGGCGTTAGGCGCGTACTAACTAATTAACCTAATATTTACAGTATTTACATATTTTCACCCCATATTTACATTATTTACAAGTGTCCATCCAATTTTCCTTGTGGGATGATGTCGTTAAAAACGATCTATCACCATGTTGAATGGCAAAGAGTCACCTGATTGGTCGATTGAGGCCAGATTTCTATGCAGGGCTCTTTCCTATAGGCTTCATTAGAGCACTACTAACTCAGTACTGAGTACTGAGGATCAGAAATCATCGCTTAGGCTCTCTGTTGCATTCATGTTGCCACTACTTTGGATCAGATCATCACCCAGCTCCTTCTATGCTTCATGGCTCTAACTACTTCGGTGAGAAGTCATCGCCCCGCAGGCGCTCTTCACTCGACTGTTTGTGGTGTCCCTGTTACCACCCCCACAAGTGTTTTCTGAATATTGTTCCTCACTGTACCTAGGTAAAACATCATGTATCACCTTAGTGAGTAGGTTGTTCTACGCCTGCGTGTTTATCTGAAACAATACGTGGTCACTCCGAAGAGGTTCATAGCTGAAAAACAATGTTTTCTTACAAAGGTGGGTGCATCTTTTTCAGGTGGTTCCCGTAAAAGACGCCAAGCCGTTTTCCTGTTAAATCCTCAAGCTCATAGCAGTGTTTTCCGAGTAATTTCCTGACTACGGCGAGTTCGTATTTAGGCGCTAGCTTTGCACAAAAATTCTTAGCTTTGCTAGACAGTTCGAATGTGCGCTTCAATACCGTTTCCCCAGGGACGTATGTAGGGCATTCTGCATTCGATCGAAGGTTGTAGGTTCGTTTATGGCGTTCATAAGCCTTTGCGAGGTGCTGTTTAATTTCTGCATACAACTCTCCTCGCTTTTCACGTACGTCATTGCTCTGTACCGGACTTGCTGCAGAGCCTTGTCGCAGTCTTTGGTACTCTTGACCATCCGACACCATCTCACGGCCAAACACAACAAAGTACGGAGTGTATTTGGTTGACTCGTGAACTGCATTCCGGATTGCACTCGCAATCGCTTGCAGGTTGTCTGACCAATCTTTGTGCTGTTTAATCGTTGCCCGTATCGCTGTCGTGACTACTCGATTGACCCTCTCGGTATTGTTCACCTGTGGGTGATACGATGGGGTTAGCCAATGATTGACCCCATATTCAGCAAGTAGATCGCGGAAGGCCTTGGAAGTGAACTGGGATCCATTGTCCGTGAGTATCACTTCCGGAACACCGAAAAGTAAGAAGATCATGTTTTTCACGAATTCGATTAAGGAACTAGCTTTAGCTTCACGGAACGGTTGGATTAGAACGAATTTGCTAAAGACATCTGTCGCCACGAGCAGACATGTGTGTCTTCCTTTTCCTGACGCAGGCAGCGGACCGACGTAATCCAGTGTAACGAATTGCCATGGGTATTCGACAAATTCCTTCTGAGCTCCCATCGGCGGCGTGACGTTGATGTTTCCAGCTTTGGAAGTCTGGCATTTGAGACAACCTTGACAATGCTTCCTCACATCCTTAGCCATTCCTGGCCAATGATAGCGACGTTTCAAACCTTGCAACGTTTTATCGAACCCGAAATGAGCCACTTCGTGTTCGTTTTTTACGATCTCGGATCGCTCCGCCAGACGTGGTAACTGCTTCCACCTGAACCGGATGTCTTCCATGCGGTTCATGTTCTTTACATAACGGTAGATAACTCCGTCCGTAACTCGATAATCTGCGAATTTTCTTGGATTGGCTTGAATGTTCTCGATTAGCTCATCGTACTCGTCGTCTTGGGATGATAAATCGAGGAGATTGATCGATCGAGAAAGGCAATCTGCAGTTATGTTGTTCGCCCCCTTCCTATATTCCAGTTGAATGTCGTACGATTGAATTTTCAACGCCCATCGAAGGAGTTTTGAGTTGCCTGACTCAACTCCGATGGTGAATAACCACAAGAGGCTCCGTGCATCCGTGACTACCTTAAATCGAGACCCTTCCACGTAGTGGCGAAAGTTTTCAATTGCTAGTAATACCCCTAGACACTCCTTTTCAACACTCGAGTACGCTCTTTGGGTTCTACTCAGCTTTTTGCTAAAATAAGCAACTACTCTGGTTTCTCCTTCCAACTCCTGGACCAAAGCTGCTCCAACCGCTGTATCTGACGCATCGCTCTCTATCGTAAACGGTTTCGCAAAGTCTGGGTTCGCTAGAATCGGTGCAGACGTCAAAACTGATTTCAGATCGGTGAACGCGTCTTCAGCCCCCTCAGTCCATTCAAATTTTTTCTTCGCTTTCTTCAACAAGTCCGTTATAGGTGCGGTTATTCTGCTATAGTTTCGAATGAAACGCTGATAGAAACCTGCCAGCCCTAGCAGTCTTCGAACATCCTTGACATTTTTCGGTCTCGCATAGTCCAGTATTGGTGCTATTCTTGAACCGTCAATCGCCACACCTCTTTCCGTCAGCAAGTAACCGAGGTATTTAACCTGTTTTCGACAGAACCGAGACTTCTCGAGAGAGATAGTTAGGTTCGCATTCCTTAGCCTATCAGCTACAATTTCCAACAGGCGAAAATGTTCCTTCAAGGTTCTAGACGCTATCACGATGTCGTCTAGGTACACGAACACCGAAGGCATCAGGTCAAAGCCAATAACCTTATCCATCAACCTGCACATGGTGAAGGGTGCATTGGTGACTCCGAACGGTAAAACCTTGAACCTAAAAAGTCCTCTGGTCGTACGGAAAGCCGTATAATTTCTGCTTTCTTCCTTTAGTGGAATTTGGAAGTACGCATCCTTCAAATCGATGATCGAAAAGTACTTCGCATTTTCCAGTCTCTGGAATATCTCCAGCATATTCCTGATGGGGTAGCTATCCTTCACGGTCATGCTGTTTATCCGCCGGGAATCTAAACAAACCCTTATTTTACCATTTGATTTCCTGACCGGTACTATAGGGTTCGTCCACTCACTGTAACATTCTTCAATGACATCCATGTCTTTAAACCTCTGGATTTCAGCATCGATCTCCTTTTGGATTGCCGGTGCGCATCGGTACATTACCTGGTTTCTCGGTTTAGATCCTTCCTTAAGTACGATCTCGTGTTCTATCAAATGAGTCCGTCCCAATTTCTTGCTGTGGGTGTACTCAAAACCTTTCATCACCTGAACTAATTCCTGTCGCTCTCTATCCGATAAATCGTGTTCCACCTCCACTGTTTCCACCGTAGGTACTTGTGCTTCCTCTGGGATGTCAAAAGTTGGAACGTCCAACGTTGTGTCGTTCCCCGTTATTGGAATCTTTGGAAGTTCTCCTACAGGTTCCAGAGTGAAAGCGATGATCTCGTCCGCATCATTGAACTGACCTACTTGTTCTGGTCCGTGACCTAAGTCAGCCATAGGTGTAATGCCAAAGCTTCGCCAGAAATTACAGCCTAGTATAGGTTTCGCGATCTCTGGAACAACTACAGTTGGTACTACCCTGGTAATACCTTTGTAAGTATATGGGATATTCAGGTATCCCAAACATTTGTATTCCGTGTTGTCGGCTGTACAGACTCTCAATCGAGTTTGTTGAAGTTTCAACCCATACTTTTCTGACAGCTCGAGGGAATTTACAACACTTATTCCGGCCCCTGAGTCCAAAAGAGCTGTAAGTTCTGTATCAAATACTGTTACGTTGAGGTAGGGACATCTTCTAGTTTGAATGTTAATGGTGTGTATGCGGTTCACTGGATCGAAATTTGATTCTTTGGGAACCTTGTCGTCCTTCAGAATGTGCGGGTCCCCCAGCGTACATTCCCTTACTGGTTTCCCTGGTTCTGATCACTCCTTCTGCGACTTGATCCCGTGCACCGCTGACATGAACGGATTGTTCGACCTAGTTCGCCGCATCCGTAGCAGAAGATCGCTCTGGGTTCCTTGCAGTCTCGCCAATTGTGGCCAGCTTTTCTGCAATTCCAGCATACGTTTAGTGATGCCTGTGTCGTCTGCTGTTGATTTGCTGGTGCTGTCCTCGACATTGCTGGTTGATTTCTTGGGCTTGGTCTTTGATCTCTGCGGTTAGGCCTAGCCTCTATCGCGTCCACTGCTTCAGGCTCCTCGCTTTCATATTCCGATGACGCACATTCGATTTTATATATGTTCCGTTGATTCCGTGACTCCGTGTTTTTGGAATCAAGCTGTTGTTGGAAACTGGAGTCTGCCGCGTCGATTCTATGGTTTAAACTGATCAAGTGGTCCAAGTCTCGAACTCGAACGATGGAGATTTTTGAACGGTAGTGTGGGCGCATGTTGTCCCAAACAACCTCGAACTTCCGCCGCCTCGAAAGTGGTTTGGAAAGCATCTTGTTCAGTCGCTCTATCTCCGACACGAAAGCGTTGAAAGATTCGCCTCTGTGTTGCTTCCGTTCATGAATCCTTTGCCGGATCCCTTGATCCTGATTTGGATTCCCAAACCGAAAACGTATCCTCTCTTCAAAGTCGTCCCAATCCTCGAACTCATCAACGTATGTGAAGAACCAGTCCGAGGCTTGTCCTTCCAAGATGAGATGAATATCTCTTAATAGATTCCGCTCTGAAACTTGTTCACGTTCCGCTATCTTCTTCAGTTTATACAGAAAATTTTCAACCGATACAGTTCTGTTGTCTCCGGAAAAGGAGAGCTTCCAGTGCTCAATCCTCCGTACCTGTCGAAAATCTCTGCTGTTTCTTCCACGATATCTGTCCGATCCACTGGTTCTATCGTTACTGGGACTCCTACCCTCGTTGCTTCGTCGATCGTTGGCCAGCCTTCTGTTACGATTCCTGTCACGCTGCCGATCGTCGATCTCACGGTCCGATTCGTCTGAGTACGATCTAGGTCCCTTATCGTTTTTGCTACTTCTTCCTTGTCTTTTGCCGCTAAGTCTTCCTCTATCCGGCTCACTGCTGTCGGAATCTGTGTCTTGTGACTTGTATTTACCTGATCGCCTGTTGGCTGGCTCCATTTGTTCTGTCCTCCCATGATCTTCCCTCGTGTTCTTTTGGTCGTCCTTGGTTCTCAGATTTCCCAATCGCTGCAATGTGTTCTTGAGTTCCACAATATATTGTTGCAACTCTTCGTAGCTTGGCTGTTTGTCTTTCCCCTTTGGATCATTCTTGTTGTGGATTGGTCGTGTAGGAGGTAGTTTAGGTTTTGCTCCAGTCTTATTCGGATCCTTGGGTTTCCCATCTTGGTCTGTTGTGTCATCTTTTTCTGTATCTATGTCGTCCTCTGAAGGTTTGTAAGTAAGGCCTCGTAAATTTTCCTTAATCGATCTGAGAAGTTCTTTACGCGTATTTTCCATCTCTACGTTTGACGTCTCCCCTCTTTTAACCCGTAAATAGTAATGTTTTAACCGGGACACAAGCTTTGGATCCTCCTCTTCTTCTATTGCTTGTTGGATTTGCTGAACCCGATTCGTGATCATATCAACCTCCTGCTCGAATTGGTATGGAGGCCTGTATTCCCTTCCTTCTTTTTGATCTGTTTGAAACAGCCTACGCAACAACCGAAGTTTTGTTTGAATGTCCTTCCCAGTTTCTTCAGTATAATTTCGCAACATTAGCTCATAATTGATTTCTTCAGTCGTCAAATAATCAGCACGTGGATACTGCATTTTGTAAATCCACGTTTGAGGACAATGAGGTCACAAATAAATTAACAAATACCTAGACAGTCGTTCACTTAAGTTAATGTTTTATTCTATGAAATGTATACGAGAATGATGTTTGAAACTATACCGCATATAAGAAAAATAATAATAATGATAAAAAAAAATGTATCGCCTTATTTTATATATGTACAGTGTATATAATTTACCAAATGAAAGAAAGAATTTAAAAAATGTACAATTCCCCAATAAGCTCCAAGTAAATTATGAAAATATGTAGGCCTTCTAAACGTTGGGCGCCAAAATGTAGCGTGCAAAATGCGGCTAACGGTTTTCCGTCTTCTGGATCGTTCCCTGGCTCGATAAACGGACGGCTTAAGCGCCACCTCCAGGGAGGACCGTCCGTCGAGTCTTGTTTGCCCGGCTAGAAACCTGACCTCAGGGCGGGTTTGTTCAATCAGAACCAAAATTTAAGTTGAAACGATACAGAAGACTCAAACGGTACGATGGATCGAGATTCTCCACACAAAGAGGTCGCCTCAATCGCGACAAGAGAATAGTTGATGCTACTGGTCGTTCTACCTACTCACGGAAACAACACTCACCAGTATCATCACCGGAGGAACTCACTTATTCAAAAATCCCCGCCGATCGAGACACGTGAGTGGAGAGACTGATTTCCCAGGCAGTCTAACCTGGCGTACAAGAACATAAACACAAAAAAAGTAGAACGACGCGAAATGTGAGAATTCTCGAAACCAAAAATAAGTTACATGGGAAACTTTTACATTTAACGGAAAAACATTTATTGGGGTAAACTACTATAAATATTTAGATAAGTTTATTTTATTGCATAACCTAGGTTTTCATCATTCGTGTTTCTGCCTCTCTAGTTTCCCTACTGTGTGCGGATTTTGATCTAGTGATCGCTAGCTAGCTTTGCTCATCGAGCTCTTCTTTCGTGGAGTGTGTGTGTGTGGTGTCGTTAACGCATGCGCATGGTTAAATAATTGTTGGTTTACTCACGGTACCGAAATAGCTGCCTGATGAATTGGTCGGCAAAGCAGATACCGGCTGATTTGCGGCGGTATTGTGGCTATCGCCCGAAATGCGGCGATTGGCGATGATGCTGCGGAAATTCCCAGTCGATGGATGGTCTCGAAGCTGGTACTGAACTCGCGCCGAAATGGGTTGGCGCTGTAGACGACGTTGGGGACGTCGGTGTTTTTTACGTGTTGACCACGTGTGGCGGAAATGGCGAAATGACCGCTCTGTCGAAACGGTTTGTTTCCTTCCGGCTTTCCCCTCAAACCGGGACTTTTGACGCCGAAGCGTGGGGTCGAGAGTCGCGTTTTTACTCGAGATGCGGTGTGCCGAGCTTCGGCCGTATATCGCTAGAAGCGAATCCTATGTAAAAAGCCGTCGAACGGCTGTTCGACGCGTTAACAATAAAATTTCCACACAAAACAATTATCCACGAATTACCTTTTCTCTACACGTACGCACACACAAAAATTGACCGCACGTCAACTTTGACCTAACTGCTGAACTTTAGGCTACACGAAGGAAACAAAAAGTAACATTAAATTCGATCACTAGACTTCTCACATTTTTTATAGGTACCAATTAAAACACACCGCGACACAATAAAACTATTTCACGCACTCTCGCCTCTTCCACGGTCCAGGTCAAAATGGACGAGTGGACGTTCCGAAAACCCTCAGATCAAATCGTAATCATAGTCTTCGTGGCCGGAAGTACGTCAATTACCGAAGTAATTAACGACCTTTTCAAACGACAAGTCTCATCAACTACGATCTTGAGCCGATTGACCACTCTATCTCTTTCTCGCTCATACCGTTTGATTAAACTGTCTCGCTTCATTCTAATTCTGGCTCGATTGATTTTTTTACGAGAGAGAATGTTCGGATTCGAACCTTGGACTTTACGACGAGTCTCACAAACCAGAGAACGTTTCCAGTGGCCGATAAAATGAATTTGGAAGGCAGCTTGTATGCAAGCGTTACGTTTTTCTGCGGATTTACAATAAGTTTCATTTGTAATGGTGATTTCAATTTAATTTAAGTGAGCATGTAGTTATTATGTAATGAATATAAATAATAAATACATAACGTGAACGATAATTATTAATGGAATTCAAAAATAGATGGAAAAACAGAATATAAATTCAAATAAATAAGTGGCAATCCTTAAATTAGTTAAATTATATTTACATAAAAGTGACCATGCTACAATACAACAACCACAGATAAACAGACATAACACATTGAATATTTCTCACTGTAAAACATCGTCGCTAAAACATTACCGCCATCTGTTGAATACACTGTGGTGGGTAGTACACTGAACAGATGGCGGTAGTGTGTATACGTCAAACGCAAGGGAATTGACTATGCGCGCCACAGGTGGTGGTACTACCAACTACGATACTTTTAAATTGACCGTTAAATGCTTGTTCGATGAACAACTTACGAGTGTTATGTCTGTTTGTCTGTGCAACAACTATACTGCCATAATAGCATATCAGTCACATATGGATAGGAAATCAAGCAAAGATGGGACTGATATGCGATTATGGGTAGTATCCACAAACCACAGAAAAACAGACATAACACTCGCAAGTTGTTCATCGAACAAGCATTTAACAATCAATTGAACTTCCTGGAGACACTGGCAGAAACTTCCTAAGGTAGATTGTTTATTTGTTTATTTGTTATGGTTGCATCAACAGACTAGAAATAGTCCCAATGATGTGTTGTAAAAAAAGTACAGATTATACAGACGACATACATATACTACAGTTACTACAGTTACAAACGAAAATAACTTGGAAAGCATTGTCAAGTTACTAAAAATTAAATTTTACACTTAGCTGTTGGGTACCAACCGCCTTCGGTCAGCAAAAAAGGCAGAGAATCTTCGGCGAAGCATATTCCGTGTCAAGTGGAAATCGAACATCGACGCTACTAGCTGCAAGCCGTAAATAGCGCTCCCTATGCTATAATTAGTTCGAAGAAGTGGAAGTCTCAGCATAAGACTGTTGCGTAGTGATCGAGGTTGAACATTAATGTTCACTTGTTGCAGAATTGCTTCGCAGTCGATTCTTCCTTGCAGAGTATCGGCGACGGTTAAGGCTCTGAAAACATCTCTTCGGATACGTAAGGGCTCGATATTGATCAATTGGCAGCGATTCTCGTAGCTTGGAAGACGAAGTGGGTATCTCCGGTATCTCCAAGACAGCTTACGGAGCGCGAAGCGAAGAAAACGTCGTTGAACAGATTCAATTCGCTCGGCCCCATTATTGTAGTTCGGGCTCCAGACAGCAGAGCAGTATTCCAACGTAGATCGTACGAGAGAGCAATAGAGCGATTTCAAGCAGTAAATGTCCGTGAAGTTCTTAGTAATCTTGAAGACAAAGCCAAGCGTTCTGGACGCTTCGTCGACGACATACGATATATGGTGTGAGTATGTCAGCTTTGAGTCTAGAAAAACGCCTAAGTCTTTCACGCAGTGCACCCGTTCGATAGTCGTGCCTAGTAGTTTGTAGTTGAAAATAATCGGTTGTTTCTTGCGTGAGAAAGTAATAACTGTACACTTAGCTGGGTTGACCACCAGTCGGTTTAGACTACACCAGTCAGCAAAGATGTCAATCTGATTTTGGAGAGAACGGCAGTCGGCGAGTGAGCGGATGCGCAGAAAAACTTTCAGATCGTCTGCAAACGATAATCGTGGCTCTGTGATAACATGGTGAACGTCGTCGAAGTAGAGGAGAAATACCAATGGTCCCAGATGGCTGCCCTGAGGTATACCGGACTTTGCGCAGAAGCTAGCTGAGCGACAAGTACCCAAAGTTACTGTCAATTGGCGCTCCGTGAGGTATGAACGAAACCATCTCAAAAGATTTCCACCGATCCCTAGCCTATCAAGCTTAGCGATCGCAATTTCGTGGTTCAGCTTATCGAAGGCTGCCGTAAGATCTGTGTAGATAACGTCCGTTTGGGTCCGAGCAATCAAACTGTCTGTGATGTAAGACGTTAGGCACAGCAGGTTCGTAGTTGTGGAACGCCCAGTTATGAATCCGTGTTGATCTGTACTTAGATATTGCCTGCAATGCGCATTTAGGGACTCTATGACAACCAATTCAAAAAGTTTTGATACAGCACTCAGCGACGTGATTCCCCGGTAGTTGTTTACGTCGCGTTTGCTTCCCTTTTTATGAACAGGAAACATATCCGCAGTCTTCCAGCAAGACGGAAAGATGCCGCTGGAAAGAGAGAGCTGGAATATGCGGCGCAGTGGATCTAAAAGACAAGTGATGTTCTTTTTAAGAATAATCGACTGAACACCATCGGGTCCAGCCTTAGTTGAAGTCTTAAGTTTAGATGCTGCTCTAGAAATCGTATCTGTAGTGGCTTCGACCATGCTGAGCGTTTGGTTGATCAAAGGAACATTACTGGCCGCGGAAGTAATGATATTAGCGGAGAGTTGCTCGGCTTCAAACACACTAGCAAATTTGGCTGAGAACAGGTTGCAAATGTCTTGTTGATTTCCAGCAGTTTCACCATTAAAAATCATGGAAGAGGGTAAGCCGACTTCCCTGCGTTGCTCATTTACGAAGTTCCAGAAGGATTTCGGGTGTGATTTTAGCCGCCGTTGAATCCTCCTTTGATAGCGTTGAAAACAGAGACGACTTAACCGCTTATACTCGTGGTTGAGTCTGACATAGATCAGTGCACGGTCCCTAACCTCACTTTTTGCTCCCTATCATTTTGCTTCTGAGTAAAAGAGATAGCAACGAATGGGAGCCAAAACAAACCACCCAAAACTGTCAAAACTTACGGATGAGAGAAGAGTGCGGCAAATCTTCGTGAACTGATCAATAGTAGCATTTCAGTGGCAGTGTGCGGAGTTTAGTAAATCTTCTGAGAGCAGCCTTCTTAGTTCTTTTCAACGAGCGAAGATCTTTCGTCATCCACGGGACGCGAAAGTCGATATGGATGATCTTTTTGGAAACGTGTCTGTCAATGACATATGCCAAGACGTGAGAAAAGGTTTGTGCAGCAATATTGACGACGATTGGAAGAAACATCTGAAGAAAGCCGGAAACCAGAGCGCTTACGGAACAGTCGAAATAAACAAGAGATTCCTGCGGGATGTCCTAATGATCCAGAAAATTTTCCTGATATTCATAGAACATCCCTGAAAACTTTGCAATTTCCCTGAATTTTTTGGAACATTCCTAAAATGCACATAGGAATATTCCATAATTCCTCGAAATTCCTTAAAAGTTCTTGTAATTTTCCTGAAATTAGGGGCTGTTTTGGAGTTCTCTGGTCATCCTCGAAGCGCTGGGAATTTCCATGATTATAATGAGAATACCGGAATATCTCTAACCATCTCTGGTCCTGGACTTTCTTGAAGATTACGAAATCTCTTAAGTGCTCTCACATTTTGTTTTTAATTTATTGTAACATCATTGAAGATTTTCCCGATTTTTTTTTTTTAAATTTTTAAGGTGATCGACACTTCCATTAACTTCCCATAAAATGTTCTCACAATGTTCTAATGTTCATGTAACTTTCCGTAACAGCTTTTGTAAACAATGGCTTCTCTCGATGATTTCTAGGAATTCAAGGCACGCGCACGCAAACCAACATTACCGTCGGGTAGGGGAAGTCTTACCCTACCTGATGGTGATGTTGATTTGCGTTGGCGAGCCTTGACTTTCGAGACATCATCGAAAGAAGTCATTGTTTACAAAAGCTGTTACGCCCTAATTCCAGCTTTATCTTGATTTGTTTATCACATTGTAAAAATTCATGTGTGGGACACATAAAAATTAGCATTGAACTTTTATTAGTGTAGGTGGATTAACTTCATTTTCATTTTCATTTTATGATGTACAAGGGGGTCAGTGGCCATGTCACCGATGTAAATATTCACACCATCCATAATACACCAGGGAAGGGGAGAGGAGTGAGCAACACAGCATCTTTACCCATGGGGGTTAAAAAATCTGCGAGATACACTTATGGTGAACCAGCTGCTCAGGGATTGTAGAAAGGAAGAGGGTTGGGTAGGTTTAAAATGCAGAATTAGATGCCGTCACGATTGAATGCGCATGTTTAAAAAACGTTGATCTAGGTACCTATCGTATAAAATTTGCATATCATCTAGTTATGGTTATTGTCAATAATACTTACATTTCGATAAAGATGATGCTACCTATTTTACCTTATATGTGATACTTATAATCACAGAATCCAACTTTGAATCGTAGACCAGGTCCATTAACAATACACTCGTTCCGAGAAGGGGGTCATGGTACCACTCATCCTGTATAGTCATCTTCTTCTTCTTCTTCTTCAGGTTCGCTCACCACCCGGAATGAACGTTCAGTGTGGTTAGTAATATCAAACATGCAAACGAAAAGGAGATACAGCAAGGATTAGCTTTTTAAAGTAATAGTTTCATCTGAATACCCCACTAACCATATCTCAGTGACATTGTCTCACTCTGAACCTACATTTAAAGTTATTTTGTGATTATATGGTTACTTTGTTACTCACATGAAATGTTGTGCAAGTACCACAAGTTCAACAACGCCCAACTATGGACAGCTCAATGTTAATACCATTTACTCTTTGAATCGATTGATAATCTACTAAGAAACACCTAAGAATGTATAGAGATAAAGCTCAAAATTACAATTTTAACTGATGGTACTTTATAAACATTAAACTGTCCAATATTGGACCCTGCCAACACACGGCGCCTGCACGGTAATGTGGGCCGTCAGAATGGTTCATCGGTTGCAAACTGAAGCGATACATTTCTCAATTTTTTAACGTAATCCTAACGTAAACTTAATATTATCACCCATATGCCCGTCCACGCCCGAAACCCATCCACCACACAAAATCAAATAAAAATGTTTCTGTATGGCAAACACGTCCAGACATAAACGAGAATATGGGTGTAAATCTTCACTGTAACAACTACGGGTAATCATCGAAAATACTTAGGCACTTTTGAGCAAACTGCAATCACTCTCTCATACTCGAAATGTTCTACAAATTTTATTTTATGATCAATTATTTCATTTTGTTTTGTTTTCCGTGCTGAGTACCAATGCTACCGACGCAAGGGAGGCCAGGGACCAATGGCAGTACTTCCCTTCCGAACGAAGGGGTGATCAGAGATTTTATGCTTCAGAAAATCCCGACGGCGCCGACTGGGATTGAATCCATGCCATTCGGAGTGAGAAGCAATCAGGCTTACCACCACACCACCGGAGCCGCAATTTTAATTTTTAATCACATTTTAATGGGCCATTCTTAAGCATCTTGTCGAAGGTGGAAGAGCTTAATCTCATGTAGGCCTGCATGGGAGACCAAGGCAGTACCCGAAAAGATGGTAAGTATTAGGGAAAATGAATAAAAGTGCACTTCGAAATTGCGTGACGTACATCCGCTGTTTTTCATTAATTAATTATAATTGAGTGAATAATCAAACATACCTATATGGTAGAGCGCTACTTCGTCGTAATCGCCCATTTCCGTTCTATCAATCAGAAAAGATCAATAATATCAATGATTTCACCGTGCACAAATCAATAATAGGTTTGTTCCGATGCATAAGTTCATTAGCTACAACATAAATCCTATTAGAGCGCATTGTGTGCATATTTACGCTCATTGCTATACGGCTGCGTTAGCAGATCAGCTTAATAGGTTCTCACCCATCAGGCAGGTAATTTGCATGACAGGGTGAGTGCTGAGCAATGACACAAATGCGCCAAATATCAGGCATTAATTAAACGTGAATACTTAACAGGGATGTGGAGTTTCTTTTCTGATAATATAATAAATATTTTACGTAAAGTTTCAACAACTGGTCATCACATTCCTAGCGGTATATCCTTTCTCCCGTGCAGCAAACTCGCTTATAGTCGTATGATAGAGTGGTACTCCTTTCAGAATCTGGGAATTGGATTCGGTAATCCTTACCGCTACGTAGTCGCCGCTGACAATTGTTTTCCTCTCGTTTGAGGTCGCGTCACCCATTGGCACATCGCAAGCGGGAATTATTACCTTTATATTACCGTCATTCCGTCCGGACAGATCATCTTTGGATCGTTTGCTGACTCCTTCTACCAGAACCAGTTCTTCTCGACCAATGAACTGCCGATTCAACTCTTCAGCACCAGCGCGGAATGCTCTGATCATCTCACGGAGCCGAAACTGTTTCACTTCCTCCGGGACATCATCGACATAACGACGGTGGGCGGTTGTTTTCTACGAATTCGGAATTAAAATATTAAGTTACCGACAGTAAATTTAATTCCATGATTTGAAGTTTTACCTCTCGCATGCTGTAAGCGAACAGAAACGCCGTGTGGTATTTAACTCTTTCGATAATGGAAATCGTTTCGGCAAATTCTTCTTCCGTTTCCCCACAGAATCCGCAAATGAAATCACTTGACAGGGTTACGTTCGTGATGGTAGATCGGACCTCATGGACTAGATTCAAATAAGCTATAAAAGAAAAGCATTCAAAAACACAGTCTGTAAATGTTTGATAATAATGCTCATACCTTCCCTGCTGTAACCTCTGCGCATTCGTTCCAGAACGGTCGAGCTTCCCGCTTGAGCTGGCAAATGCAGACTATTACAAATGTTGGGATACCTTGCAATTGTTTCCAACACTGCAGTTGGGAAATCTTTCGGGTGAGGTGAAGTAAATCTGATGCGCATCTCGGGCACTGTCTCGGCCAGCTCCATAAGCAGTTCGGCAAACCTCATCCCTCCGACCTTAGTTTTATATACCGTTTTAAAACCCGGCGCCATGATAGAGGCTTGCTTTTTTCCATCGATATAAGCACTCGTATCTCGATAACTGTTAACGTTCTGGCCGAGAAGAGTAATCTCTTTAATTCCTTTGCCATGGATAATTAAGGCTTCCTCCCTGATTGAACTGATTGGTCGTGAACGTTCCTTTCCTCGGGTAAACGGGACAATACAGTACGAGCACATGTTATCACATCCTCGCATAATCGAAACGAATGCCGTACGTGATTTCCGGTCCAACTTGACCGGAATCACATCGGCGTAGGTTTCATCCAGTGAAAGCATCACATTGATCGCCTTTTGACCTTTCTGTCCAACGGCCAACAATCTAGGTAAGTCCTTATAACTATCCGGACCGGCAACCACATCTACTGCTTGTTCCTTCTCTACCAATTGCTTCTTTAACCGTTCAGCCATACAACCCAAAACTCCTATCTGCAATGGCTTCGATTCGTGTCGTTTTTCCTTCATCAAACGAATGTGTTTCAATCGGTTCCATATCGTACTTTCAGCCCCATCCCGAATGGCACAAGTAACTATCAGCACCACATCCGCATCTTTGATGGTCCCGGTTCGTTGAAAGTCGTGGCTTTTCAAAATCGACCACACAATTTCCGTATCGTTAGTGTTCATTTGGCACCCATATATTTCAAAAAATACCTTTCGTTTGTGACCAAGGAGTGGCTCTTTCGGTAGGTACGGGATATCTGCTGCGCGTTGAACTTGGTGGATATCCGCTACGGAGGGTGATTGCTGAAGAAAATCCTGAAGACTTGGTCCATCACGAAGTTTATCGGTAGCAGTTCGGGGTTGAGTCTGTTTCCATCGTATCGATGCGGAAGCTGGGAGTATGCGCTGTTTTACAGCCTTTAAGTTAATTATGCGACGAACAATGTTGCTCATTTTGGAGAAGAACACAATTTACACACCGAATGATTCTAACGGATTGAGTAACACATTTAAATGAAAATACATTTTTTTTCTGTCGTAGATTTGTTTACGTTTTACGATTGCATGACTGCACTGTCCATTTTTATACGCATGAAACGAATCTTTACTGTACATGAGTGCTGTCATTTTACAAAAAGGGCCTTTATTGTTACACTGAAAAGAATCAGTTTGCCGTTTTTAAATATTCATGCAAACACACACACTGTTAAGATAAACTTTCTCATTTTGCTTAAAATTTAATCAATTTGACATTAAACTCAGTTTGATCACAAAGAGACAAACTAGTCCAAGGCTGAAAATCTCGATAATAATGAAAACTAAAACTAAACTATATAGGTAGTGAACTACTTTGACCTTATCGCCCATTTTGGGCCTATCGAGCAGAAAACTTCAAATAAATCCATGATTTCAGAGTTAACAAGTCAATTATGCGTTTGGTACGATACTTTAGTTGATAAGCTACGGAACGAAGTCAATGAGAACGCGTGATAAGAAGGTTTGCACCCATTATTCCCAAAAACAAAAGAAGCGCTCCGACCGAATCAATTTTTATCGTCATCCGATGGGCCGAAGTGAATTCATTGACAATATCTCAACGATTGGTTTCTCTTTATCAAATCTTACGGTACATACGGAAAGGTAAATAAATTTGGAAGCCATCAGTAATAATAACATTTCGTTTTGTGCTAAACTGCGCTAGATTAAGAAAGACTAAATGCGGGTTGTGCTTAATAGGCCGGAAATGGGGTAGTTAACCCTGTTCATGACTTGCAACGTGTTTTACGATGTTGCGATATTAATCTTTTTGCAGATGATACTGTGTTATTGAGTGCAGCTAAAGGCCGAAACGCAACGTGGACGGAAGCGGAACGAAAATGGAAAGTTTGACAGTTGTCATAATGACATCAAGAAGCCTAACCGATGTCGATTTGGTTCTACTGTGTTACCTGACTTATAACGTATATACGATGTTTGCGAGTACCCCGAATACAACCTATAGTTTGTCTAATTTTACATTGCAAATGCTAAACAAAATTAGACGAGTCATACGTTGTATTCGGGGTACTCGTATACAGAGTATATTCGTTATAAGTCAGGTAACACAGTAACTAGTTTTCAATCGGAAGAGTAGGCTTACTCAAATCGAGCTTTTCCGCTGCCGTTCCGCTTCCGCTGTCATTGCGCATGGGACTTAAGGATTTAGATGATGCCGTTTCACACTTGAATGAAGATTTGCGTTCTCGAAGTAGATGGTTGAAGTATAAGCAGTTGAAATTGAATACAAGTAAAACTAAATTTATGGTAATTTCACGGAATCGATTAAATGAGAACGTCTATGTTGTAATTGATGATGAGACTATAGATCGCGTTCGGGAGATTAAATATCTTGGCGTGATTATTGATGACAAGCTTAAGTTCAACTCTCACATTGACAATGTTATCAAGAAAATTTCCAAGAAGTATGGAATTCTATGTCGACTGAAAAACGATTTAACTATTGGCAGTAAAATACAGCTATACAAATCAATCATCTCTCCTCATCTAGACTTTTGCCCTTCCATTTTATTTTTGGCCAATGCAACACAAAAATCGAGATTACAGCGCTTGCAGGTGAAGCAAAGAATTGTATATTTGACTATACTTTCATACCGAATCAAAACAAACATAGTGTAGTACTAGAATTTCTATTAGAATGGGGTACGTTAATCGATTTGCTTGGGACCAATAGGCAAGTCACGTAGTGAGCCAATTTAAAATCATTAGTTTCCACCGAGGGGGGCGACACATCTAAATCTCAAGTTTAGATGCTCAACAAATCTCACACTAGCGAATCAATCTTCGAAAAATCTTCTTTCATTTTGCGCATCTACTTGCATCGTGCATCATCTTTTTGCAGGAAATCTTCAGAATCGTCATCAATCTTCTTTCTGTCTACTCAGCGTGCGCGCAGCTAACCACAGCAAAACACAATCTTTTCTGCATCGTAGATAGAGTCGTCCCCCTCGGTTTCCACCGGTTGTTATAACTCTGTAGTCTGAACGAACTATCAGACTATAGAGTTATAACATGTTATAGCGCTATCCAAGATAGCCTTGATGGTGGTTTTTGTGTTGCAATTATTTGACAATCGTTATAACATGTTACCACTTCTCAGTCTGGCCAGCGTTTAAGACCAGCAGGTCCCGAAGAAACGTGCTAAACTTTTTGGCTCAGCTCTAAGTAGTACCAACAATCAATACGAAACTAACGATTTTAAATTGGCTCACTACTTGACTAGCCTATTGGTCCCAAGCAAATCGATTAACGTACCCCATTCTAGTATAAATTCCAGAACTACACTATGTTTGTTTTGATTCGCTATGAAAGTTTGACAGATAAAATGAGAAGCTCGTGGATTTTCCTATGTTTAGAGGGGTGCATCGATTAGCTTGGGACCGAAGAAAGTACCAGAGCTATCTTCGGTCCCAAGCTAATCGATGCACCCCTCTAAACATAGGAAAATCCACGAACTTCTCATTTTATCTGTCAAACTTTGATAGCTAATCAAAACAAACATAGTGTAGTTCTGGTATTTATACTAGAATAGGGTACGTTAATCGATTTGCTTGGGACCAATAGGCTAGTCAAGTAGTTAGCCAATTTAAAATCGTTAGCTTCGAATTGATTGTTGGTTATACCTTGACAGTGGGCCCAGCACAGTAAAATCAACGATTTGAGTCCGTGACACTGACCTGGTCACATCCGAATCTAATGTGGGTGGCCCTTTACAAGTAGACAAACGGACAACATCAACCTGACTGTGATCGATGTTGTTCATTTGTCCAATTTAGTTGACTTATTTTTGGGGAGGTTCAATCTGCACAGCAAAAAAAAATGTAATATCGATCAACGTAATTCAAGCTGATGTATGAAATAATGATGTAATAGCAAAAAGCAGATACAATATTACATCAATGGATGTAATTTTGTTCGCAAAATCGATGTACATCGTACAATGTGATATTACACAACCGATGGATTGACCTGGTTGCAGCAGTTTCGATGTAATATTCAACAACTTTTTTTGCTGTGTGGGTGGATTCTTCTCAAATTAGGGTAGAATTGTAATGTTCCTAACCTTAAAAAAGATCTTGTTTCTTATAAAGCCTTTTCGGTTTTGAGTGCTGCAGAATCCAACTGCTTGAAACGTCAAATCAGCAAAATCAAAATCAAAATCGATTTCAGCAGCAGGAGTGTTCTTTGCCGGAAACATCCAAACCAAAAATCAAAATTACTGTGTTTTTTCAATAATTTCTTACATTAGAAAGTGTTCTGACTTGACCTTCTTGTCAGCGTCGATCAACTTATCAAGCAACATGAGCCGTTGGGATCAGAAAACTGAAGGTACTGTTTAATGACCCTCCCCTCTCCTCATCCTCATATCAAGCTTCTTGTGACTTTCATAACATCCTTTGTTCCTATCTCCAAATCTATCACCTCTGATCTACCTTAATTTATAATTCGGCAACCTTCGATTTTTTGAGAATCGGGTCAAAATATCAAGCAATTATGACTAAGATTATATTTGCTTACTACTTCATCCGTCAAAACCGAATTGAAACGTAGATATTTAATTTTGCCAGTTGTATTTGCCCCCCAAATTTGCCACAGGACACTCGCGCTCACGTAGGGATGGTCCCACGGATCGTACCCGGAGCAGGAGTAGATCCCGTAGCCGTTCAACTTCACCAGTTGAACGACGTCTGCGGGAGATAGATGAGGACCGTCAACGAAAGGAACGGCTGCTGAGAGACACGACAGCTCAACAACTACCTAACCGTCGGGACAGTGGCAGTTCCAGTGGGGATTCAAATGATGGTGAGATTTATCTGATTGCTTTAATGTTGTATTTTATTTTGCGTTTCCTGGGCTTATCCATCGTAACCTCTGGAGGTTTGTCGTTTTCAAGGTTTTCAACCCGAGACTGCACTACCGGCACCTCCGGTTATACCTAAAGTAGGATTTAGCTTCCAGAAACCTGCTAGCAATGCAAAGATAGGTACCAATAGCCTATCCGCCAGTTTCAAAATGCAGAAACCCAAACCGATGGCGATTCAGATGAAGCTTGGAGCAGCACCTAAGAAAGAAAAGCCCAAGCTATTGAAGCAGGTGGCTAATGCTTTTGCTGGAGAAGATAGTGATGATGAACCGGAGGAAATGCCCGCCGAGTGTCGGATGAGGATGAGAAATATTGGGCGGGATACACCCACTTCGTCGGGACCAAACTCTTTCGGTAAGACCAAGCATGGATTCTGCGATGCCAAGAAAATATTCGAAAAAAAGTTGAATACTCTGAACGATAGATAGACTAGCCTGAAGTCGCTAAAGCACAATTAACTGTCCGCACTGCTAACTATCGCCTATTATAGAATGAGATTTAACGTTCTTTACTCTCGAAGTTACTTCCGTATTCTTCTTTTCAAAGACTTGCATTACAGCTACATAAATTACTGTTTATTAGGTGTGTTCTCATTTTATAATGGCTCATTTGATTCTATTGTGAGTTGTATCAACGATTAATACTGGAATAATTACTCTGTTTTAATGGTAGGTGCAATCGGCGCCTAACTTTTATTACTAGAATTTAGATCAATATGATTAAACGGTATGTTCTGAAATTATCATCAATCGCGATTCTTTGTTTCGATCCGAATAGTCCCGAATCAGAATTTATTGTTTTCAAGATGCTTAGATGTTCTTTACAGAGATCGGAGATATTGTGTTCATGTAGAACGAACCTTGAGACTTCAACATAGTTTCTTCATATACGTAGTAAAATACTCAAATTTCCCTCAAACGCCGCCAACGTTCCATGGAAATCCTATTTTGAAAAAGAAACAGCACAAGTTCTGATCCAAAGACGGCTGTTCTCTATGCTACTACGGGCAAGACATGGCTAAAGGAGGCTCGTATTAGACATCAACAATAGTGTACAGAAGATTTATCTGATGTGTGACTGACATTGTATTAAATCGATCCGATCTCGTTTAATGTATCCTCGTTGGTAATTCAGATCGGATTTTGAAAAGGGTTCAGCAATTTCCATTGAAGTCGAACATATAAAAAAGTTGTTGAATTGCCGGCTGATTGCTCGAATTGGCTCGTGTTGTGTATAATTTCGGCTCCGTGGTTCCAAAAACAGAAAGTCGCGTTGACGAACAGACCTCTCAGGGGCATACATATTTAGCTGTGACAGCAGTGTTGGACTATCAATGTCACCTGTAAGCAGCTTTCCAGCGAACATAGCTTGAGCGACCGTCCGTCTCACCTCTAATGGCTCGATTCCCAGGAGACAACAACGGTCCTCGTACGGTGGCAAGTTCGTTGGGTCACGCCAGTTGAGGAAACGAAGAGCATATCTCACAAACTTGCGTTGAACGGATTCAATTCTAGTGATCCAGCTAGCATGGAAAGGGCACCAAACAACTGAACTTGACTCCAATAAGGATCGCACAAGCAAGCAGTAAAGTGACCTGAGGCATAGCGGGTCACGAAACTCGTCGGCAATTTTGAAAATAAAGCCCAATTGTCGATTAGCTCTGGAGATGATGTCATTGTAGTGGATTCTGCAGTCCAAGGTAACGCCGAGATCCTTTATGTGCTCTACACGAGCAAGACAGCGTCCGTAGAGAACATAGTCAAACATGATTGGTTCGATTTTTCGGTGATAGGAAATAATGTTACATTTTTCTATGCTTAGACTCATCAAATTTCTTGAGCACCAGTCAGCAAAAATACTTAACATATTCTGGAGATGCCAGCAGTCCGAGAGGCTTTTAATAATTTTGTAGATTTTCGTATCGTCTGCATAGAAAACGCGGCATCCTGATGGTATCAGCACGGCGACATCGTTTAAAAAGATCGAAAATAGTAGCGGTCCTAGGTTACTGCCTTGCGGGACTCCCGAGTTGTTTGAGAAAACATCCGATTCCGACGAGCCAATCTTGACATGTACATAGTGATTCACCAAGTAAGATCTGAACCAATCCACAGCAGTTGACGAGATGCCAAGTATCTCCAGCTTGGCCAGCAAGATATTATGATCTACCGTGTCAAATGCAGCTTTTAGATCCATATACGCAGTATCGACTTGCCATCCTGAATCCATGCATCGCAGACAGTTAGAAGTGAACTGCACCAGGTTCGTGGACACGGAGCGCTTCGGGTAGAAACCGTGTTGTTCTGTATCGATATAATTTTTGCAGCGTGCGAACAGAGCACCATTCATGATAATCTCGAACAGTTTTGAGCAGGCACACAGGGAGGTGATTCCACGATAATTTATGACATTCCGTTTATCTCCTTTTTTGTGCAATGGGAACAGATAAGAAAGTTTCCAGCGGCAGGGGAACTCACATTGTTGTGCCGAGAGATTGAATAGCCTGCAAGTGGAAGGCAGAGATTGGCTACACAACGTTTTAGAACTGATGACGGAATGCCGTCAGGTCCGGCGGTGAACGAGAGCTTCAGTTTGCGTGTTGCGGCTATCACCATGTCTTCTGAAATGCGCGGAATAACGAAACTAAACACATCACGTGGCATCCCAACAGTAGCGTCCAGCACTTGTGTTGGTGAAGCGGAGAAATCGTGGAACACTTGCTTGAAATGACGAGCAAACAAGTCGCATTTTTCTCTTTCACTATTAGCCGAGTCATTCCCGAGAAACATGGAACAAGGCAACCCGGATTCCTTCCGTTTGGAGTTGATAAACGACTAAAAACTTTTCGGATTCGTGCGAAGGTTCGCTTCCGTGCGTCTCACGTGTCGATTATAGAGAAAACGATTGTAATTTCGATAAATACGACTCGCAAAATTGAACAGTCGTTTGTAGTACGGCGAGCGAGAGTTACAATACTTTCGGAGGGTGGCAGAGCGTTGACGTTTTAGCACGCGTAGGCGTGGGTTAGACGATGCAGGCTTTAGCGGAGTTCGTCGAGCTGGGACAATGCGGAAAATAGCATCTTCCAGTGCAGCACTGAAAAAATCCACTGCATCATTCACGCTAGAGGCGGTTTCGATAAATTGCCAATCAATTTTCGCAAGCGCATTGTTCAATGCAACATAATCGGCCGGGCGAAAGTCCAAAGAGTAGCACTCAGATGACGGCGTAAAAAGAATCGGCGTAGGTAAACTAAATGACACGACGAGAGCGGGATGACCGGCATCTAGATCGATCAGTGGCTCGACCCGCAAGGACACAGAAGTGTCCGGACAAGATCTAGCAAACGTCCATTTCGGTTCGGAAAAGTATTCACTTGTGTGAACCCGTAAAAGTTAAAACCGTCCAAAAGAGCACAGCAAGCAACCGGCATATGCGAAAGCAGTGGATCAATTAATGGTGTGCCACTGTCTGTAAAGCGCCACTGCAGACCAGCTTGATTGTAGTCACCAAATACGAAAGCGGGAGAGCAGGGACTTAATTGTGACGAAATTGAGCCTAACGATTCCACATGCTCACGGATGAACGTGCAGTCGTTTTTGCGGTCGGGAGGCAGGTAGATTGCGCCTACACTAAGCTTGCTTCGTGGAAGTTCTACGACAATCCACAGCTGTTCCAGTTGACTGGAAATGGGTGACGTACTTACGTAGCTGGCTAGTCTAGTAGATACTGCAATCAGGACTCCGCCACCGCGCGATTTTTGACTGTTTAGGGCAGACCGGTCAGTTCTGAAGACGGAATAGACCCAAGTAACCAAAAGTTCTGATAAAAGGTCATTTGTGGCTTAAGCAGCTTAGTTGGTGATGGTCTTTAGAATTCTAAGCAGCCTCATTTTTAAGTCGTTATAAGAACTTGAAAGTTCCGGTATCATAATTGAAGAGTATTCTAAGCAGCTTCTGGCGGAACTTGAACGGAACTTTTAGAAAATAAATTAAAAAATACACCAATACTATGTTTAGTTCGCACTTTTATGAAAGTTATTTCTAAAGACAGGTATTAATGTGCATTGATTTATCAGCATTAGTAGTAGAATTGGAGCTGTTTGAAGAATTAAACCCAGTCCTTCTGAGTGAGAGCCCCAGCACGAACCGCTGCGTCATCTGAAATATATTAAAGTGAGCTGTTGTCCCGCCTACTGTTGGAGTTTTCGGTGCCAGCTGACTGACTTGCATACGAAACACAACACCTTGATGAATTTTAAATTGGTATTCGCCCGCATGGTATTCCAACACATTTGTGTCGCAGTGGCTAGCGTTAGTAGATCGCATGCCGAATACACGGGTTCGAATCCAGGAAATTACTTTTTATTTTTTTTTATGTTTGGATAGAATGTTGATGCACTGCATAAATATAAGAATTATGATTTATTCGGGCCACTGATCATTTAATATTTACGTACATTAAATTTTGTTACTAATAAAGACTTGTGCGGATTGCTTCATGTGGCTTGAAAGTTCTGTCGGAACTTTATAGAACTTGAAGGTTCGGTTGGAACTTTATTTGAACTTTATGGAACTTGAAAGTTCTATCGGAACTTTATTTGAACTTTATGGAACTTGAAAGTTCTGTCGGAACTTTATTTGAACTTTATGGAACTTGAAGGTTCCTTGGGGAGTGACCCGCATAGTTGCGATGAGTAAATTCGGTCGTCCAGCCACGTTTCCGTCAGCACAATCAAATCATATTCGCAACAGCCAGGAAAAACGAGTCGATTTTAGTCCTCAGTCCACGCACGTTTTGGTAGTAGATCCGGAGACCTTTCAAGGAGCAATCACGGGAACTAGAAATCGAAAGGACATCAGGTACCGAAAGCTCGGAATCGCTAACATATTTGCCTGAGGTTGCAGGTCGGAAGCCCCCGATACCATCACCGACGGATGTCTGCAGCAAGCGCGACTGGGTCGGGAGGTTCGGAAACTTCCTCAGTGCCTGTTTTAGGGTGTCCCTGATCCGAGGAAGAGCAGGTGGCGGCATAAACCTGCTGGTAGTTGGCAGGACGGATGCATGGACATGATGTGGCTACTGTGAGGTCGCAGAACCGGAAACAAAGCTAGAAGTTGAAGCTGTATCAGGCAAAGGAGAGCTGAATCGTCAATATACTTGCCAGTAATAGCTGGTTGGAAGACCCCCACCTACATCTACACTCAGGGCCGAGACGACGCTGGCTGGAATAAGCGCGACTGAGGCAGAGAAATCAGCGGCTTCCACAGTGCTATACACGATGCGTCTCGGTGGTGATGGTATTCTTGGAAATCGTGGAAACATCATTCTAGTGATATTGAAAACATAATTTACGCTCCAAATTTCTGTTAAGACACGATAAAATATAATAAATTGATCTAATATAGGGCGTTAATTAATTAAATTTAGCGTTCGATGGATTTTTTTATAAAGCATAGCACGCAAACTTGAAAGTACCCATTAAAGAGTAAAAAGGTCCATTTCGAATAAAAGTGGCTCAAGTGGCAGCGTGAGGAGAAACAAATCCCGTGAAACAAAAAAAAAATAATAGTGTTTGGTTCATCATGAATCAAAAATTGCAATTAAGAAGTGACGTTTCCTTTCTCGCGAAAGAAGGAATTTGTTTTCGGGATCTAGGATACACATTAAACATACTATTTCGTAAGATTCACTTTTATTTACACACGCTTTACATGTTTTATTTTCTTTTATAAATGCACGACGATTACTATCAAAAGTATAAAACAGTTAAAAACATTACATGAGTTAAAAATGTTTCTTGATACAAAAAATACTGGATCTTGTTGGAAACATAGTTAAGTTATTAAAACATATGAGTTTCTCCTAAAATATACAATAATTTAATGTGGATTGAGTTAAAACATCGATTTAAAACCAATTTACACGCATTTATCTATTTATAAAACACACATTCAAACACTCGTTCCTACACCAAACTTGAAGCACCAAGATTGTAACGTTTTTGCTCATCGTAGACATTCGTCGCTGCTCCCGGACCAGTTCCGATTCCTCCAACGGCACCTTCAAGCATGGCAGCCGTATTACCAATATTGTAAGGTATAAACTGCCTCGGCATTGGTATCACCTCCATCGGTTGCAGCGGCGAAGGACTTCCGGTGCTGGCCACTGCCGGACCATGTATTTCACTAACTTTGGCACTAATGTAACCGGAATCGTCGTTCGAGAGGTTGTCCTGTGATTTACGGAACTGGTGATGTTGCTGCTGGGGCAGATGATGTTGCTGGGGCTGATGGAGATGATGCATCGATGGCGGTTGACTACTGGCCAGCTGGTAGGGGAATTCCGGTGACGGGGTTCCAGTGCTGCAACCGGACATGGCGAACGACGAAGCGGCTGGGTTCATGTACTTGCGGCTCGTCAGAAGTTTCTCCTGGATAGGAGCGTGTGGAACGTAGTGTTGATGGTACGAGGTTGGATAGTCATTACCGTTCATGAACAGCGGGGATTGGGATGGGTAGTATAGGGCTGGCGTGGATTGTACCCGATCGGAAAGGGGGGTTTGTGGGTAGGGACTTTGGTTGGGATTGAATATTTCATTGTCATTGAGGTAGGATGGAAGTGGGTTCCTACTTCTGGCATGAACTGATAAGGGCATTTGATCGGGTAGAGTGGGATGGGATAGATGAGAGGTTAGATCTGGTGGTTTCACTGGCGGTTTTGGTTTGTTTGGTAGGTCATGGAAGTAAGCGTCTTTGGGAATGAAGAACTGTTGGCGGATGGCAGCCACGGGTTGATTTTCGACTTTTGGGAGAGCCTTTTCGTACATTTCTATGAGATTTTTTGCTGTAATCGGGCGATCTCCCAGTGGTGGAGGGCCATCCACGCAATCAAGGTCGTCCTCCTCTTCGCTAGTATCGGAGAAGTTATCGTCATGAGCTAGAGCATGGTGACTTGTTGGAGGCTCAACTTGCTGAATCGTACTATTCTGAAGCTTGGAGATTATGTACTTGACACGGTTTTGCTCGGACATATCGTCAGCAGTTTCATCATCCATCTCCGGATCTTCCATCTGATTGTCATTCAATTGATCTTTAGCCTCTGTGGCTTTTTGAAACAAATCGTGAACACTTTTTTGAAGTACCTGACTCCTCCAGCTTGTGCCATTCAGTATCCTACTTTTCAGTTCTTTCAACTGTGCCAAATTGGCCATATCGGACAAATCACACTGATCATCCGACTCCCAGTCCTTCTCCGTATTTCCGGGATCGGCATCTTCCTCCTCATCATCATCATCGTCATTTTCACCACTACAGGAATCGTCCCCATCCTGTTGTTGCGTTCCTTGCTTCTTTCTGCTGTGGTTCGGGGCAGATTTGATTGTGGTATTCGACGAACTAGGAATATCTTCGAAACAATTGTTTGCGTAGAAGCCGTTCACCATTGGTGCGTTGACGCTATCTACGTGTGCTTCTTGCTCGGAATCATGATAGCTGGTAATTTCCGACATCGTTTCGATGAAATTCGTTGAAGTCATATGAGTTTCATGATAGGCAGCAATCGAAATGTTTTTGTTTCCACCCAATAGCGAAGAACTAGGTGACATGGTAGAGTGCGGAGTGGACACGGAGCTGGCTCCGTTAAGACCTACAGGATTTCGGTAGGAACTCAGTGAATTAGAAGATCGTTCTTTGCGGATTGTGATGTCCTTGGAAATTTCTGGTGATACTGGAGCGGCAGGCAGCAGAGACTGAGTTATCTTCTCCATCTCTTGAGCGATATCGTAACTCTGCCCGGTGGAGTCACGTTTTGAAGACGTCTGGTGGTACACTTGTGGATTGCTGTCGTAATGATGGATATCCTTTAGTCGATCTAGTGCCAGGATGTACCTGAAGGAATTTCAAATTATTAGTCATGTTACATTGCCGTACATGCTCCGAACTTACCTATTATCACTATGCTTCTTCTTGGTTATCTTCTCTAGCTCCAGAATTTTCTTGGTTTTGCTTAGCAGTTCTTCCAGCCTCTCGGTGACCTTGATTTTCTCGTTTTTGTGATCGAAACTAGACGATCCCGCCGACGAGGGCACCTTGCGCTCTTCTTTGGATGAATTTCCTCCGTATGCCGAACTTGGCACTCGATCCTGATATATCACATGGTTCTTTTCCTTATCGTTATCTTTGTCCGAATAGCAGTAGCTATCGAGTCCCGAGTGACTGATCGAGGATGATCGCTTACTGCCATTCCGCTGCTCTGAGTCGAACTTTCTTAGAGGAGTTCTACGATTCGGTTCATCCACTTCCGAATGGTTCTTGATGTTGGAGTTGTTGGAACTTTCGAAATGGTCCGAATAGTCGGGCCGCCTGTGATCCGGTAGATGATCCTGCGAATCTAAGAAGTCTATACTTCGCGAGAATTGTGGCGTTGAGGATTTCATCCGATCTTCCAGGATGTCATCGCTGCCATCCAGAAGCTCAAGGCTTCGACATCGCGTCAAGGTATTGGTGTTGGCCTCATCCTTCCTGGTTTTCGAATTATGAGGCCCAGTTGATCGTTCTACTATGCCACGTTTGAGCCACTGTTCCAAGTGTAGTCGCTTGTTTTCACACTGAACCCTGCTGGCGATCATCGTTCTGAAATCGAAAAGACAAATTGTACTTCTGTTATCAAAAAACAATACAAGAAGAACTCACTTCGTCAGTTCTTCGATCTGATCATCCGTCTTCATAGCTAACGCCGTCATCCGGCTATCTAGCTTCTCCGTCGCCCTGTGCACATACTTCCGTATGCTCTTCCTATTCTGGTTCATGCGTTGCTCCAAGTGTTTGAAGAACGGTGCACAATAGCAAGTGTTCCCCACTCCAACCGGTCCTTTTCGGATATTCCCCGCTAAGTCCAGGAAATACTGTTCCCCCGTTGCCAGGGGTTCTTTCGGTAACGTTTCCAACTTGGGTGAGGGGAAATTTCTCGGATCTGGAAAATAGTGACACCCGTACGGGGACCAGTGCTGTGGATCCACATCGTACCGTTGATCGTAGCCACCTCTCCCCCGTGATTTGTCGCGCGATTTGCGGTGATCCTCTTTGCTGCGTGACCGATCGCCACTTTTGCCGTCGCGACCCTTCCGATGGGAGCTGCTGGAACTGCGTTCCCGGGCATGCCGCGACGAGATCTGCACCGGTGTGTTGAGAATGTTCAGAATTTCGATGAGGTTCTTGCGGATGGCGATGTCCCGAGCGGTTTCGTCCTGGAATGTCATAACGAAAGTGGATTAATTCTAGGATTATGAAATATCAACGAATTAGCATGATGTATGATGCTAGAAGGAAATAGAGTCAACAATGTCCGTATGGCGACGCTTACAATAATGAGGGATTCATCATCGCAGTATGTGAGTGAAATGAATTATGCTGAAAATAAGAATAGAAAAAAGATTGCCGACTGGACTCGAACCATGAACGTTGTATATCAGACCTCTGCTTTCTACACTAGTCTGTCCAACATAGATAGCAAATAAGAAGCGCTCATAATATTTTTTTCTTTATTATAGAGGTTTTCAGCCAGAGGCTGGTTTTTCGCTCATAGTACGATAATTCGATTTCGTATGCTTTTTCTGCTGAACGGTAATTTGAGAGAATCGTGCCAAGTGTGTGCGTTGTTCTACGTTGTTATAAAAAATGCTTGCTTGTATAGTCGAAAGCGTAGACAGAAAAAAAGACTATGTAATATTAACATCTAATGTAAACAATTTTTGGACGAATTTTAGAAACTATAAAGATTTCGTGTGCGAAAAACCCATAATCACCAAGGGGTAATCAAATCTGTGCCGAAACACAGCATGGCACACAGTTCGGCACGTTAGGGCACTCGTTGACAAGTAGGTCACAACAAATATAATAAGGATGCATACATTGTTTACTCCATTGTAAAGCCCAATAAGTTCGTGACATGCCACATTTCGCAAAGTACTGTAAGTATTTTCTGCATCATTAATCCATCCAAACTAACAAAACTCAGTTCATCTCATCTGATTCGCAGCAAAAACCCCTGCGGCTTGTCCAGAGTCCAGAACAGCTTCAATTTCATTTTCCTCGACACCATAGTTTGGCGATAGAGTGTTGTCGATATGGCAGTCAAGACGGCCGTAACGGGTTACCTCCAAGATCTGGTTGTCCAATACGACGGTTTAGTTCAGAATGCGGTCGGCGAAATCGTTGAGTTTGCATTTGGTGCAACAGGCTAAACTGTACCGGCTGCAGAGCATATTTTAAAGAAGTTTGTTTTCAACGGTTGTCGAGTAGACTTCCGGAAGAGTTTCTACTCTTTATTCCAAACAGCCATTAGAAAAAAAGCTTTTTACGAAATTCGATAAAAAAAGTTGACATAAATCCAAAAACGATACAATCACTGTTCTATGTCTAACCAACCTCCCACAGACAGGTGGATATATTCATGACATCGGTGCACAACACGTACAACAAAGCCATAATCGAAAACGGCCGGAAGAATATCCTGCATGCTACGAAGCTCAAATATACATTTGGAACGAAAGAGGGCAGGATATTCGATAAGAGTTGAGCTACATTTTACAAGCTTGTTATGCAGAATATGTTATAAATGTACTTCGGTGTAACGTCCTTCAGCCTAACGTACTTAGGCTTAATGACTCAACACCGAATAAATAATAAAGACAAAAACTACAAGGGACAGCCCTATGGGGTTGTACGCAATGGCGACGTAGGACTACGTGGTCTTATATAATAAATCTTACTTGTTAACTGCAGCAGGAGCTTGAGTTTTGTGTAGGTATAGGAATTTGAGCGGGGTTATCTCTGTTTATAAAATTTAGTATGACGCGCTTGCAATAGATGGCCTACAGAAATTCACGAAAAGTTACTGATTCTCGAGGGGGACGACTCTATCTACGATGCAGGAAATATTGTGTTTTGCTGTGGCTATCTGCGCGTACGCTGAGTAGATATAAAGAAGATTTATCACGATATTCGAAGATTTATTCGCTAGTGTGAGATTTTCTGAGCATCTAGTATTGAGATTTAGATGTGTCGCCCCCTTCGCTGATTCCGATCGATAGCGGTACGGCTTCTTCCTTCTTCTATGGATGCTCATGTGGTCCGACGACCGGACATCACCACACACGATAATTGGAACTGAATCTGATCAGCGGTTGAGGTCAGCCTTGATCGCTTGCTGCTTGCGGGGAGCCTTTCTTTGTGTACTGGAGAACACCACCACTCACCACGCGGTGATTGAATAAACACCGCTTGGTGAGACCGGATGCAATTCAACTTTGAAATCGGTTTTCGCAGGCAATCGGTGTTAATTATCATAGCAACAGTTGCACATTCGTACACTTTTCAATAGTGAAAAATGACAATCTTAAGTTTAACAGATGCGTAGGAATATTTCTGATCGATTGGTGGTAAAATTATTGAAATTGGTCCAAGAATAGCTGAGTTATTAACATCAAAATCTTTCATAATTTTGTTACATGTTCCATTTTCGGTTTTCACAAAGTGTACCTCCATATAGAAATCGCAGACGTAGTCCTACGTCAAAAGCTTATCGTAGGGGTTCCCGAGGATCTTCCGGGGTGGAATTTTTCTCATCGTCCACTGAGTTTTTCCTCGGATATTCTTTCTTGTAATTCATCCCTATCGTGTGAATCGTGTTGCTCTCTGTCACTAGTGTGAAGACGTTAAATTTGTCTCATCACTAGTGATAGAGAGTCACACGACTCACAGAATAGGGGTGATTGGTCATTGTCATGAGAAATCAACAGGACTGGGAAGGGATGTCCATAGAATTTAAAAAAAAACGTCCCAGTACGGTTGGGAGATGCCGATATGTATTAACCCCTCGATTAACCCCAAATATTTCATCAGATCTGGGCCGATCGACGATTGGAACGGATTAATACAGTCAGTCTGTTCCGCGATTTGGACATTACCCGTCTTCTACGATCCGGTCATTTTGCAGATGCATCTCTGTCGTCATCCTTCTATTGAACTTGTTCATCATAAGATGCCCCGTTGCGATTGGTGGCTTACCGATCAGCCTTGCTGAATTTCGAAAATTTTACTCACGACAGAGTGAGTTTCGGTGCGCTCAGTGGTTTCCGTTTGACGACTCTAAGCAATTTTCTGTTTAGCAAGAGCCCATGAGCTTGAAGACCACTAGATTGTTGATCAAATTATGGACAAGCAGGCATTAGTACTAATTGTGCAAAACAGATTGCCGGATTCCAATGCGGCTCATCCAGAGATTACGAGCTATCTTCTTGCATGGATGGCTCTGGGTCCGCACTAGGTACTCGACGCGTCGTTTACATGACCTTCGTTCATTTTTCCGTCCGTTCGAGTTCTTTGTTTACTTTAGTTGGAGAGGATTTCAATGGATGCTGGTGGCATTTTATACCTCCATCGATCAGGCTACGACTTCGTTTCTGCACACCTGCAAGGAATCAGTCATTCAAATTGACATTGAGTCAGAATCTTGTGGAACGGTCGTGTTTGCTTGAACACCGTATAGGTTTGATATCTTCCAGTTTCTCTTTCATCTTCTGCTCTGAAAATGAGAATTTAAACACAGTCACAAATCCGGAGAACTTGGAGATTTGGGTGTAATTGCTTTCGTAAACAAACATGTCAATCGCTGATTTCTCGCGAATAAACGAACAATCTCGTGAACAAACTATACCAAATGATAGAGGAACCATTCGTCAAATAAACTGTTTGTTTACAAAAGCAATACGCCCTAATCTAGAAGTTCTCTGGAAATGTAATTTCAACTTCAGGGATGCCAAACTCATGGGATATTGACAATTGGCACTCTTCGGCCTATTTCGGCAAATTCGGCATACCCTGGCATAGCGTTTGGCTTAGCTAAATACGTGGAACAGATGTCGATGTGCAGAGTTGAATACCCCTTGATAATCACTCTTTTTCTGCACTGCAGCGTACATGTGATTATAATTTTCTGGACACATGACTAAAAATGGTGAGTTGACAAACTGGAAGAAGCGTGAAACCTTAAGATGGGTTTAGACTAGGCAAGTCAAATGATCAACTCAGTTGAATTCAATTGGCTTGAAAAGTTGAGCCTGGTTCAACTTTTTTCAATTCAAGTGAGTTGATCAAGTCAGTTGAATGGCATGGTTTACACGTTCAATTCGCGTTCAAGTCAGTTGAATTCAACTGACTTGATCAATTGACTTGCCCTGTCTAAACCCAGCTTTACTCTGGTCCTCACAAGTTCGTAGCTCACATAGTGATTAACAAGCTCACGGCTGAACATCGTTTTAATAAAGTTATTAAAAAAAATGTCCTTGCGACAATAGCAAAGTGAGGAGTTGCGCCGTGAAGACTGGCAAATGGCTAATTTTACCGTCCCGGTAAAACCATAGAGGTAAAATAAGACCAGCAGGTCCTGAAGAAACGTGCTCAACTTTTTTGCTCAGCTCTAGAACTACACACTTAGAAAAAATCATGTAAATTTAGGTGACCTGAGACTGACATATACGAGCGTCAATTTTGACATAAAATTGAGTCATAACAAACGCGAAATTCAACTCATTGAAACGCACTTTTCGTCGAGTAACGAACTTTTCAGTGTCGGCCTAGGTCGGAGCACTTAATTTTACATGAAATATTTGTTTACGTCTGATCCTTTATGTCAAAGATGGCTTCCGTTACGTGTAAAATTAGTTATTTCTAAATAAGTGTGTATCTTCGGCCCCAAGCTAATCGATGCACCCCTCGAAACATTGGAAAATCCACGAAACCCTCATTTTATCTGTCAAACTTTCATAGCGAATCAAAACAAACATAGTGTAGTACTAGAATTTCGACTAGAATGGAGTACGTTAATCGATTTGCTTGGGACCAATAGGCTAGTCAAGTAGTGAGCCAATTTAAAATCGTTAGTTTCCACCGGTTGGTGAAACCATAGAGGTAACTCTAAGACCACTGGGTCCCGAAGAAAATCATTATTATTTTTGGCTCACTCAGTACCAGAACAACGGTCCCAAGCAGTCCCAAGCTATTTCACTCACCCCTGCATGTTCTGCATGAATCCACACACCCCTGATGTTATCTGTCAAACTTTCATAGCGAATCAAAACAAACATAGTGTAGTAATAGAATTTCAACTAGAATAGGGTACGTTAATCGTTTGCTTGGGACCAATAGGCTAGTCAAGTAGTGAGCCAATTTAAAATCGTTAGTTTCG